CCTCGTCCTCCTCCTCCTCCTCCTCCTCCTCCTCCTCCTCCTCCTCCTCCTACCCTCGTCCGCCGCCGCCCTCTTCCTGTCGATGCGCTTCCTGCCGCGCTGCGCTCCTCTCGACGAAGCCGGGGATGGGGCCGGCGGCGGGCGGGGATGGCACGCCTCGGCGGGGATCTGCGGAGCGCAGGACAAGGCTTGGCGGCTGGGGCGTTCGGCAGGATCCGTCGGCATCGGATCGGGAAAGCGGATCGGAAGGTTCGATGGATCGGGCTGCGTCGGCACGGACTCGAAATCAAATCGAATCGACCAAGCCAGCATGGGCAACCGAGCCGCGCATTCATCGGACCGCATCGAATCGCTGGGAATTCGAAATCGCATCGGATCGATTCGGGCGAGCTCGAAATCGAATCAGGTCGATCGGATCGGAACGGGCGCTCGTTTTGAGGATGGGACTGCCCTATCGCCTCTGCACATGTCCCGCCTTTGCTGGGCAGAGGAAGGTAGCAAAAACGACTTCCATGCCATCGTGGCCACTAATTTTCATTAGGTGCTCAGGTGTGTTCCGCCATTACAGGCTCTTCGGCCGAAGGTTGGTCCACTCGCGGTCTTCCAGAAGTCCAAGAAGACCCACTGAGGTCCCCGAGAGGGCCCCGAGACGGCCCAGAACCGGGTCATGACGCACGTGGTACCAGTAGGCGCGCGCTCGATGTCGTAGCACAAGGTGTCTGCAAACTTCAGGCGGCGGCCAGCATGTATAGACCTCCGTCAAGTCACACCCCAGTCGTCAACCTGCATGTTGGCCAGCATGTGCGATTCCAGATCGATCCCCTCGGTGAGCATTGCCCAAGATGCCTTCCGGTATACCTTCTTGAACGACTCCATTGCGAGCCTGCGTTCCTTGTGAAGCACAGCTGCTGAGCACCGATGGCCAGAGACTCGGCGGGATTTACGACATAGTGGTCGGGCGCCTTGAGGTAGGTGATGGGCGGAACGAAGTAGTGGCAGGCGGGTAGGGAGTAAATTTAGGTCGGGCCTGTCCCCCTCCCTACAGGGGGATTTGGGGCTAAAAATGAAACATGGTTAAAACATACTCCAAACATACTCAAGAATGGTAGAAAAATCGTCCCCTGACTATTTTTCTACTCTTTTTGAAAATTCCGACTGTAGAGGGACAGGCCCGACTTACGAGTAGATGGGTATGCGCACGTGGCCGAGCGGAGGGGCGCGACTGCAGCGCGAGAGAGTGGTGATGCGTTGGACGTGGCGCCGCCCCGGTGCTCCTAAGGGTGCGCAGGTACTAGTTGGCGCTCCTCCTCCTCCTCCTCCTCCTCCTCCTCCATCCCCTCCTCCTCCTCCTCCTCCTCCTCCTCCTCCTCCTCCTCCTCCTCCTCCTCCTAAGGGTGCGCAGGTACCAATTGGCGCTCGTGTTCATGCTGGCCCATACATCTTCCGCATCCTCGGCAGGCGGCGCCGACGGCGTGGATATGGCCCCTGCGGGCGGCGTCTTCTCCAGGACGTGGGATGGTGCACTTGTCGCCGCTGGGCGTGAGGTCCACATCGTAGCGCGAGCTGTCCGCCTCCTTCAGGTGGCCCGTAGCGCTGCGGAGGCACACCTTCGTGATGTCCAGCGCGTGTGGGTTCAATCCCGTATCCCATGTGGACATGGCGAGGTAAGCCTCCGCGCCGGCATTCTTGCAGACCTCCATCTTGAGATCGTGCACCTTCTGGCCAGTAGTTACGGCACTGAGGATGTACACCTGATAATCCAGATAGAGCGGGGGGTCCTTGATCCAGAATTCCTGCGAGGACGTAGTAGTTCGGGCTGATGCGATAGTCCCGCTGGAAGGGAGTAGGTAGTTGCCAGGCCGTGGCGGTAACCAGGACGTACCTCTCCATGTTATCCCTGGGAAGCCGCACCCATAACAAACTGGCTGATTTTGCCCTTGTAGGTATTCGCGGTATGCGCCAGGGCGTGCTTTGTACAGTCGCAGTAGGAGTGGTCTGGGTGTGTACCACTCCCTCCCACGATGCGCGGGATTTGTAGCCATGGGTTGGGCCCAGCGTGGTCGAGCTGCGCCAGCCACATCGCGACTTCACGCCTGGCAGTCATGTAGGCGATTTCTGGTACGCCACGGTAGCGATCGGGACCTCACCGTCCGTGTCACGTACGTACTTGTAGCATATGTAGGCCTCCGATTGCGGTTCCGACATTGGTTTGGGCGGAACTTCCCAGGAGTAAGCGCGGGTAGCAGTAACGCCATGGTTTCGTTTGTAACTGTTGGGTCGAGGCGGAATCCGAGGTCCTGCAGGTCGGGCTTTTCCCCGTGACGTGGCTGGACTTGGCGGACATACTGCAGCGTACGGCCCACAATCAGGCGAGCATGATCGTGGGCACGCAAAACTGAGACGCCCCAAGCAGTTGGCATGACTTGATCCGGCTGAGGACGTCATTTCCACGGCATGTGGCACAAGGGTGTCCACTGATGGTGCTGGTTCGGCTTGGCTGTGCGCGAGTGGAAAATAGGATATAGTGGGAAGCGGTAGCGCTGTAGACAAAGTAGCGTGCGCATATCACGGCAGACGTAATCAGTAAACGGATGCAGGCCCGTAGCCACACAGCTATAAAACCCAGGCGGCCTGCACTACGGCGGAATTCACGACAGAGCGGCCTGGCCCCATGAGGTGGCAGGTGGTGGGTCGAACGTAGTAGTGCCAGATGGGTAGAGCTAGTCAAGGAGTAAGTGGGGATGTTTGCTGGCCGAACGGATGATTTCGACTCTAACGAGAGGGTGATGCTGCATTGTATTGTACATGGCGCCGCTCTAGCACCACATGGGGGAGCAGGTACTGGCTGACGCTCGTATCCCCTCCTCCTCCTCCTCCTCCTCCTCCTCCTCCTCCTCCTCCTCCTCCCCCTCCTCGTCCTCCTCCTACTCCTCCTCTTCCTTCTCCTCCTCGAACTCTTCCAATTCCTCCTCGTCAGCCTCCAACTCTTCCAAGTGCTCCTCCTCATCCTCCTCCTTCAACTCATCCTGCTGCAACTCCTGCTCATGCCCCCGTTCCTGTTCCTGTTCCTACTGCTGCTGCATTATCTCCTCCTCCCCCTCCTCCTTCTCCTCCTCCTCCTCCGCCTCCTCCTCCTCCTCCTCCTCCTCCTCCTCCTCCTCCTCTCACTACTACTTTTGCTCCCCATCCTCCTCCGTTCCTCCTCCTCTTCCTCCTCCTCCTCCTCCTCCTCCTCCTCCTCCTCCTCCGCCTCCTCCTCTTCCTCCTCCTCCTCATCCTCCTCATCCTCCTCGCCCTCTTCGCCCTCTTCCTCCTCCTCCTCCTGCTCCTCCTCGCCTCCCGCTTCCCGCCGTCCCTTCTAGAGCTCACAATGCGGGCGAGCCGCACGCCAAGGCCGTGTGCTTGGGTCCTGCGGCCCTCGGGCTACGAAGCAACGGATTAACCCGGGCGGGGGCCTCCGTTCCACGGTGGCCAGCCGGAGACCAGGAGGGGGAGAAGCAGGGAGGAGGAGCAGGGAGAAGAAGGAGAAGGAGGTGGAAGAGGAGGAGGAGGAGGAGGAGGAGGAGGAGGAGGAGGAGGAGGAGGGGGAGGAGAAGGGGGAGGAGAAGGAGGAGGAGGAGGAGGAGGAGAAGGAGGATGGATGGAGGAGGAGGAGGAGAGGAGGTGGAAGAGAGAGGAGGGTGGAGAGGAGCAAGGAGGGGGGAGAGGAGGAGGAGGGAGGGGGAGGAGGAGAGGAGGAGGAGAGAGGGGGAGGAGAGGAGGAGGAAGGAGGAGGAGGAGGAGGAGAGGAGGAGGAGGAGGAGGAGGATGAGGAGGAGGAGGAGGAGGAGGAGGAGGACGAGGGAGAAGGAGGCAGGAGGAGGAGGAGGAGCACGGAGGGTGAGGGAGAAGGAGGAGGAGGAGGAGAAGGAGAGTGAGGAGGAGGAGGGACATGAGGGGAAGGAGGGGGAAGAAGTGCAGGAGGAGGAGGAGGAGGAAGAGGAGGAGGAGGAGGAGATGGAGGAGGAGGTGGAGGAGGAGGAGGATGAGGAGGGGCAGGGGCAGGGAGGAGGAAGAGGATGAGGATGAGCAGGAGGATGAGTACGATGAGGAGGAGGAAGAGGAGGAGGAGGAGCAGGAAGGAGGCGAGTGGACAGAGGATGAGGGGGGGTGAGGAGTGGACGGAGGAGGAGTGAAAGGAGCAGTGGAAGGAGGATAATGGAACGGGTGACGCGGATGCTGATGCTGATGATGATGCTGATGATGATGCTGATGGTGATGCTGGTGGTGATGATGGTGATGCTGTGTTCATGATGATGATGCTGATAATGGTGGTGATGCCGATGATGGTGGTGCTTCTGTTGCGGCTGGTGATGATGGTGTTGCTGCTGTTGATGATGATGATGGTGAAAATGATGATGCATATGATGATGGTGGTGATGATGATGACGATGTTGATGGCAACGACGATTATGTTGATGATACTGGTGATGATGCTGATGCTAACGACCACCGTGATGATGATGATGATGATGATGATGGTGGTTATGATGCTGATGCTACGGATGCTGGAACCTTTGACACGGATGATGGTGATGATGATGATGATAGTGGTGATGGTGATGGTGATTGTGATGGTGAGGATGATGCTGATGGTGATGCTGATGATGATTGGGTATACTGATGTTGGTGATGGTGTTGATGGTGACGACGATGTTGCTGATTGTGATGGTACTTATGATAATGATGATGCTGCTGATGATGATGATGCTGATGGTTATGATGATGAGGATGATGCTGCTGATGATAATGATGATGATGCTGATGGTGTTGTTGATGAATATGGTGATGATGATGACGATGATGACGCGGATGACGAGGATGAT